GATATATAGATAAATATATATTTAACACACACACACACATATATATATATGATAGATTTGGTAAAGACACGCATATTCACACACACAGCCGGGGTCTATCAAGCGTTGTAAGACTTGTTTCACTCCGCCTCATTGTGGCAGTCATAGTTCTCCTCACAAACATGCTGGTAAAGCGTGACAAGTTTTCATAATGTGAGAGCTGTCTCGTTTGTGAGTGATGTAGCTCGTCAGGACGGGTGTGAGCAGTATTGTTGGCCTCAACATGGTTTGTGGGATGTTTAACATGGCTAGTGGGGTATTTAACATGGTTAGCGGGATGTTTAACATGGTGGTGTTTAACATGGTTAGTGGGGTGTTTAACATGGTTGGTCGGATGTTTAATATGGTTTGTGGGGTGTTTAACATGATTAGTGGTATGGTTAACATGGTTAGTGGGGTGTTTGTGAGTTAAGCTGATTGTGTGACCTGATTACATCGTGCAGAGACACATGCCATCGTATACAATTGCATGAGCCTGAGTTGTTATGTGTACGTCATTCCCTTTTATATATAATACACTTCTATACTTGTCAACCTATGAGTCATACTTTTATGTATCCTCTCGGTGCTACCGCGTGTGCTTACTCCACCTGTTACCATCTGGCCATGAACCTGCTCGTGATCAAGATGACATCTAATTTCATAACCATTCCGCCTGTTTATACATAGATACGTCGCCATGGCAACCATCGCTGAGAAGATGGGGGTGGACCTATGGAACTACGGCCGAAATGACGACCACATCATGCTCAATAGCGTGTACTTCCATCTGACCGGCGAAGGGATGCCAGACATGATTCTGAAGGTGTGTGTTTTAATGTTGTGCAACGATCTTGTTCATTCTCGCTTTAGAACATAGTCAAAGATTACATGATATTTCAGCTCAGCACAAAGGTATGGATGTTAGAATATATATGGACAGAAGTATAGTCCAATCTTTCGGACATGAGCAAGATTCGCAGGCTCGACTGGTCAAGCTGTTCGATCGAGTAGCTTTGTGTTACACACACGAACAATATATACGCACCTACCGCACACACACACACACACGCCCGCATACACAACCACAGCGAAGTTTCCACTTACACAGAACACTACATACTCGCCTAACTCCATACCACACACACACATATGTGTGTACACGCGCACCTACACACATGCACACAGGACAAAAACAGCCGCCGACTCTCCAGTGATGCGCTCAATGGGTTTGCGAGTGACATTGCCACACCCCGGCCAGGCACCACCTCGCTTGTGCACGTGGCACGTCTGCAGTATCCCGATGTGCGACTAGACAGTGACAACATGGCTGCCGAGGGAAGGCCGGCGATGCGTAGTTTGTATCTGGAGGACTTGCCGGTAGAGGGGAGTGATGATGTGAATGTTGTGCGCCCGTACTGGATGCTGGGGCTGGGCAAGAACATATAAACGGTGGACACATGCGGGTACGAGGTTTCGAGGTTGTGCTGTGAGTGGTGTGACTTGAGTGCCTGACGTGGGCTTAGTCGTCAGTAACAATACAGCTACAGCGAGCACGTCTACATAGTGTAGTTTGTAGCCGAAGGATATGGAATGACAGGGATGTGATAATCTGATGTAGGGCAACCGTACTGGCCGCTCGGGTTGGTCTAAGACACGATGTCTACTTGTATATACAAATGAAGTCCGAAGTCCGGGTCCGAAGCACTCCTACATAGCGGCAAAGCAGTCACACACTGGTCACTCACCATACACTGCGTGTGCTTGGTATACCTACTGTCCTAGATCGTCACTGGAAATGCTGCAGGTAGGTAGAGACACGCGAGTGCATGTCGCGGTGCATATGCGCTTTTTTAAACCGCAACGGCGCCGCACAAACAAGCTTCTGGAAGAGGTAGCTGACACTCAACAGACTTAGCACCACGGGAAGGTGTGGATCTATGCCCCGTGAGGTTGCATTGGCGTATTGAGAGCCTGTTGAGACAGTTAATCAACCACGAGCAAGTGCGTTGAGCGTGCAGTGCGCAGAGTAATGGTTCTGCACGGGTGTGCTGAGACAAATTGATCACGGCCACCAAGCTACGGCACTGTACTGTCTGTATAAGACGCCTGCGCTTGGACTACTTCTGGTAGATAAACGTAGGATGTGCAAGTTACCTACCAACTTGGATGTAGATCGGTAGCTATGCAGTGGGCCTTTTCCATGACTTGTTGGTGAATGTGTGATAGTGGTGCAAATTGAATTCGTTGACTAAACAAATCGAGTAATGGAAGGTAAACCTGCGCGTGCGCTTCTGTGCTATTCGCGAACACACACGTACAAGAGTATGTACATGCCTCAATATGAGCCCTACGAGTGCGTATGAAAGTCAACTAGATTAAGTAATTGGTCTGCTGCTTTCGACTCGCTACTCGAAAGATTGTGCTTAGCAAGCACTTGGTTAACTGAATCCTTTCGTATTCACAGACAATACAGACTAAAGCGCGCAATTAAAAATAAAGGTCGCGCAATTAAAAATAAAGGTCGAGACCGAAAAAACATACAATCAATGATAATATTAAAATGTAGAAACGCAGGACGAGTGAAGGTTCACCCAAAGATATTTGTGTGCTCAATCACCATAAAAAATCGGATTCTAACTTGTGTAAGCGATTTTGTTCGCTGATATAATTAATGTACACGTGTTTGTGTGTA